CGGTGTTTCTGTACTTTGAACGTCATGCCGACCTCTCGGTTTGTCATGGTACAACATTTAAATATCAACCAAAGATTGCCGACTGCTGATCGAAATTGACCTTGCTCAATCCAACCTTTGCTAGGGAATCTTTCAATTGGTAAAAGTTTTGTCCACGTTGGAAGCGAGTGAGTTTGGATTGTATCATGCACAATTTCCGGTTCCTTTTTTGTCACTTTATCGGAATGACGTTGGCTGGACATGGGAGCCTTGATCAGTCATGAGTTGCAATCAACCCGTCCACTTACACTGTTTCAAAATGCTCTTGCTATTTATATCTCGATATATTCAAATTGACCTACAAACTCTGGTGTATGATTGTGTCGTGGTTTGCGGCTGGTTGCGCTACAAAAAACAAATTTTACGGTCATATCTTTTCCTTTATCAAGCATCTTGTACAACATCCTCATTTTCCTTTCGTGATGTGTAAGCATGTGATCAAGTGACAACACATTCACAGTGTGCGATGTATGGAAGCCTTGAGTAAAGTGAAAACACAACTGACTTCTTTGCCAGTTTTCTATGCTCTTCATTGCACGACTCTCAGAGCTATTCATTTTTGTGTCCATTTCTGATTCCTCAATCTGAGCTATTCTATTTCACTATGGCAACATCCTGACCATCTCATACAATTTGATATAACCATCATTGTCTAACAACATGCACATCCATGAAAATTTTTGTCAGTGATCATCTGCCAGATGGATTCCTTATATCTTGACACCGATGCGCTCGTCCTTCTTTTGAAAAATAGAAAATACACTTGAAAACAAAGATAAGGATTACATCACAATGCCATACTGCATTGAATTAACGGATATCAGAAAAGCTATTTAAAAATACTACACAAACCAAAACTGATATTTTGCTCCCAAGTGGAATATTGAGATTGTATCACTACCAGCAAAAAGTAATCTCCCGTGAGAAAAGATTTTGCATTTTGAGCAACAAAGGATTGAAAATGAATCAAATCTGCTTGAATCTGCATTGAATCTACATCATTGTACATCATTCTGCATCAGATCTGCGTTTTGCGCCCTTTGTTGCTCTAAATGAAATTTATTTTTCTCACATGAAAAATTCTTTTTGCTGGTATTATATATGTATACAGGATCCATTCTTTTCCAAATCAAGTTATTGAATTTCCATGCAAGCTTGTCTAATCCAGCAAAAATTCCAGCTGCTGGCTGGACCCATTTGTAAGTAGGATCACAATTGCCAGCCATGCACAATCCGGGCTTCAGCTATTGAAGGGCTGAGCTTTTATTATGATGCTACCCAAGCTATGATCCAGCAGGTTCCATCCCACCTACCTGATTGCCTCAACCTTGGGCCCATCCACCACCCACTCCACTCCCTCAAAAACACTTCAACTCATAGCCTATCATGATGAGATCTTTCAAGAGCAACTTCAAGATCAATTTTCACACAAACCATGGCAACAAGAAGGATGTATGGAAACCTTGTATTCATCCAACTCTTGGGCCAAGTCCACCTCAAGAGGACCAAAAAGCTCAGGAACCTGTAGAAAAGTGTGATGACAAATAAGCAATTAGTAGAAAAAACCAATTGTTCATGAAAAGAGCCTAGCCTACATCACTTATAGGGTTTTGAGTCCCAGCATTGGAGACTGAAAGGGAGTGGCCTTGGTGAGTGACCGTAGCTTCAGATATGTACAGTTCCCTCCAAGCGGTTTTTGTAATGACTCAGTTCTGCAGCAATACCAGGGATTTTTCTATAGGCAGATTTTGGTGGAAACACTTGAGGAAGATCTTGGTGTTGGGTTTTGGTCCCAAACCAAATGGCTAAAAATGCTAGGCGTGGGGATGTGTACATATAGAGCAAATTTACATTATAAGTATAGGATGGAGATAGGTTGAATGAGTATAAAATGAATAAAAGAGAGGGATTCTTGCAGCCAATGAACCACATATGATTGCTTGAGATTGTCCACAAGCTGTATCACAAGCTGGTTCATTGTTTGGTAATGAGGCAGATCCTCTGCGCCAATAGTGGACATAGGTGTTGTTTTGGGTGGCAACAAGTATATCAGAGGATGCAACAAGTGTTTTGTGTTGCAATGAGTATATCAGTGGACAGAAAAAGTGTCTTGAGTTGCAATGAGTACATTGGATTGCAGCTCAAAAAAAAACTTTTTCTGTCCTCCAATATACTCATTGCAACACAAAATTTTTTTATGTCCTCCAAAAAAGTCATTGCAACTCAAAACAGTGTTTCTGTCAGCCCTGAGAACATGTACAAGTATGTGCAGACAAGATAGATCACCCCTTTGGCAGTTGGGGCTGGCGGAGTGTTGTATCCTTTCTGCACATACTTGTACATGTACTCAAAGGATGATTTATGATACAAAAATTACATAAAACCATAATTACATATATGTACATAGCAAAACCAAATGTAACATATATTAGAAACCCATAAGAGCATCCGCACTCGTGCGGTAACTCGGATGCGGTAAGTGTAAATTTACCGCAACCGCAGGTCTTTTTCCACAGCGGTGGAAAAGTAGACCTGCGGTACCTAATTTTCCGATCGGTTTGAGGTAAGGTAGAAGTAAATATAATCATACCCTACCTCACACATTATCTTCGGTAACGACCCGGGTTTCTCAAAAAGTACCGTCTGGCATTGTAAATGAACAATTTGTGTGGTATACTGTATAAATTCAAATTTGAAACTTTTCACCGGTGTGGAACTTGTACATTACACGTGCAGTAACAAATGCTACGTGGCAGTTACTGTACACCAGTGTGGAATCTTTCCAAAATAACTAACTTTTACCTTACCGTACAGGTAGGTACCACAAATTTAACCAAATCTTACCGCAAACGAGTGCGGATGCTCTAAAAACATCATAACACCTCATAACTAGGGTTGTGACCCAACCCTGAGTGTGACAGGGTCTCCCCGGGGTTTTGTCCGGCCTTGTGTAGTCCCAAGGACCCCTGAGAAACAGGCAGGGCCAATTAGGGCCAGGCTAAAATATATGCGTAAAAAACCCTTGGACAGGGTGTATTTTTGGATTACTTCCAGCAGACAAAGGGTTGGTGTCCTGGCCAAGTTGAGCTCCCAAGGCGCCCACGGGGCATCCTGTCACTCTCATCAGTTAGGTTTAAATGCCCCAAGGCCAGGACTGTAAGCTCTGTGGAAGTTGTTGGGCACAGCCGGCCAGGGTGGGGCCAGGTCCGGGTCACAGCCCTACTCATAACTCAGTGTCAAGAGTCAAATATGCTTATATCACATAATGTACATAAGAAGGTTTGCATTTTACTGGTATCAAATGCACACCTTGAGTTTGTCAACTATGATCCATAGGGAACATCTATTGATCTTGTTCAAAAATGGATATAGAAGGAATAACCTTGAAGAATCATTCAAAAATTCTCACTGGCTGTTAATTCTTTAAATTGTGTGATTGTGTTCTTTGGAGTTACTGCATAACACTTCATCATCCAATCAGGCAAGTAAATCAATTATCAAAATCAAGTGACTCTCATTGTTTGGTGTAGAATCATCTGAAGCCTGAACTCAAATCACTTCTTCTTGACCTTTATTGTCAGTCAGTTTGATGTCAGAAGCTAGAAAAAGACCTAAATGTTCTTCAATGTCTTTCTTGGAAATTATCTTTCTCTCAGTTTCTTCATCTCTATCTTCTTGGAATGGGTGGCTGTTTATCTATTCAGACTTCATCCTTTTGGATGTCTTAGCTACACACTGATTTCTAGACGTCTACATACCAAAAAAATTGGTGAACTAAAATATGCAAGATGAAACAAGATAAGACAAAGGTAGAAGCATTTGATGAATAAAAGAGGGAGAAGGGACTTGAAGACAGAATCAAAATCCTTTTTGAAAAGGAATTAATCAGGTTGAGATTTTCACTTCAAGGTTCTCAGACAAGAGGGATTCTGAGATGGAGGCCCTCAGGATCAAGCAAGCCTCATCTTGAGAGCTTCATTATCAAGAGATCTACAGTTTGAAAGCTTCAAAATCAAGTGATACTGAAGAATTTGTGGACTAATTACAAACTTCTGGTTAATCTCTGATGATCTGTTGGCTATTGACTGTGTTGACATTGAGACAGTCTGGGTTGGATGAAGTGATATATGGTGGTGAGTGTTGTGCTCTTGCTTTCTACTTTCCTCAACAGTGTTTAGTCAACAGTCAACCAATTGTGTTCTTTGTTTACATTGTCAAAGTTTTTTTTCAAGTGTATATTGTCCAATTCTCTCATGGTAGCAAGCACCTTGATCATGTCTCAGTTAAAGCAACCTCAGTCTATGTTGACCTATCCTTATCATTTAAGTCCTGCTGATCCATTCACCAAAAACCCAAACCTGAATCCTCATCTGCCAAAATTGTTGATCAAAACTCTTGGAGTCCTTCAGTTGATCCTGTTGATGTATGCAGTCCTATTCAGATGTCTGCTCCTTGTATCATGTCAAACTCCAAAGACAACATAATCTCAGTCTTTGTTTGGAAACTCCATCCAAAGGTATGGCCAACAGCTTACCAATACCTTGAGTAAACTCGAGATCTCTGACAACCTAGAGGATGAAAACTATTCTACTTGGAGGTATGTGGGTTGTGGAAATCTTGGCAATCTCAACCTCCATCACTATCTTGTTGTTCAAGAATTTGAAGTAACTGGACACTCTGAAAATCAGGTAATTAATACTTGTAAAATTACTGTAAACTGTATTCTTAATCATCTAGATAAAAGCAATCATCCTCAAACAATCAACCATTTAACTGATCCTGAAGATGTACGGATTTAATTCACCATCCCTATTTAATGTAAGTTCTTCTAAATGACAGGCATTGATCATGTGATATTGAAGTTATTTATATCAGTGGTTTATTTGACCAGAATAACTGCAAACCTTTGTAATGGAGCCTAGGCACTCTATATAGCCTATAGTCGAGAACGAATCTCATACGCCCGGCTAGCTCAGTTGGTAGAGCATTCGACTCTTACCAGGGTTTCAGGACAGTGATCATCGAATTGTCGTGGGTTCGAGCCCCACGTTGGGCGTGCATTTTTGCCCTGTTCTCGTCGCAATCCCTGGTTTCCTTGCTATGGACCCAATCTGAGTAGCCGACTGTTGTTCATCCGAAATACCGGTAATGTTGACAAGAGAGATAGTCCCGAGATGAACAAAGAAGTTGATGTCTGATACCATGCTTTTAGTCGCAGCCGAATCAGCCAAGATCGTACCAAAGGACAACAACATCGTACCGGGAACAGCATAGCCATGCGCGGAAAAACCTCCGTCAGGTAAATCATCCGCCATGTCAGAAGGGTTAAAATGATTCGTTGATACCGCATAAGCCGGCGCGCTAGGAATAATCGTAGGAAGAGTAGCAGGAGAGGGTTGCCGTTTAGCCAAATGCGCCGCCTCAATTGCCAAATACCGTTTAGCTAACTCAGCATTCGAGGCAGAAGAGGAAGTACCTGAGGCAGGCTTTGCTTTAGATTTGTTTTGATGACAGTGACTATTGGTGTGATGGAGCCCTCGATGATTGGGAAGATTGCACAAATCATTGGGGCCAGGACCAACTTTCTTAGCCTGAGAAGATGCCGGCGCGGAAGAACGAGCGCTGAAAGCAGATACCGCCGGACGTGAATCAGAAGAAGAAATCTTAGCAATTTCCAATACCAGCCGATCCATCACCCTATCCACAGTTAAAGAAGCCAAATCCGCGTAGAAGGGTGCGGTGACGACGTCGTGATTGCGACCCAAGCCATTTAAAAGAAAGATAGCTAAAAGTTTCGGGGAAAGAGCAATATCTTTGTCTTCGACCACATAATGAGCTAGCTGACCATGCAAATTTCGCACCCGAGTGACAAAGTCTGATAAAGATTGACCGGGCTCCAACCTAGTGGTAGCAATGTCACAAATAGCAGCAGCAGCCAGTACACCACCGCTACTACCATGCACCTTGGCCAACTTATCATAAGCAGCCTTGAGAGTGTCGGTTAAATCAATGAGAGGTTTGTTGGTTGCATCGACCGAGTTCAAAATGAGTTCCAGAACCCTTCCTTGATTTCGTTGATAAGTATCCAGCTCAGTGGGATCAGTAGGAGCGACATCGGAAGTAAGATGAGAAACAAGACCCCTAGTCCTTGAAGCAAAATGAATTTATTCCAATTTGCAAAAATGCCAGGAGCTAGCTGAGGAATCTTGATGCGGTCATCATTAATAGTCGAAACAGCAGTTGAAGCAGGATCGGGGGTAGCCATAGCGGATTGACGAGAAGAAAGCTCGTGCAGATTAATGGTAGCAGTAGGAAAGTCACCCGGGATAACGGTGGAGGTGCTGCCTTCAGTGTCAGATGAAAAGTATGGTTCCGGGGAACCAATGGCGTTGACAGACACAGATGGGGAAGATGGCGGTTCCTTACTCGACATTCAAAGAAAATGATGGAGAAAAGATAAGGCGACCAGCCAAAAAAGAAAAGAACCCCAAGGATAACAGACTAATGATGACGTATATCAATATTCCACGGATTTACTCGAAAAAGCGGCTCATGACCTATGAGTCAATCGCGAAAACACGAAGTACGTTGTAAGTATAAGTGATGTAGGAAAGGTTTGAAAAGATCATGATATTTCGCAAACAGACAACACAAAGTGACAAATATAGAGTTGAGATTTGAGAGAAGAGAAAAACATTCGAGAGAAACTAATAGACTGACCTATGAGTCAATCACGAAAACACGAGATACGTCGTAAGTATAATTGATGTAGGAAAGGTTTGTAAAGATGAAGATCAAACCTTTCCGGGACTTATAGGTAGTTTATATAGAGAAAAAAGAGATACAAAGTTTAAGAGTTTAGAGACGCGTACACGAATAGAGAGACACAGAAACCATGACAACAATGCCAAATGATGAGCAAGAAAGGACAAACGATGAAATAACAATTCTGAAATATCAATACTATCATAATGTTGTAGGATCACACCACGCAACATTTACATTCAACCAACTCTATTCGTAACAAAGCAACAGTACCTCCAGTGCAAAGTCCACAAGGTTTTTATCTGGTATATCAGAAGAGAAATGAGTTTGAAGAACCGCGTGACCAAAATCTTGAAAAACATACAATACTTTTCGCAATATTTGCCTAAAGGTATCATATTTTGAATTCATGTTCAATTAGTCATGAACAAAACAGATGGAACAAAACAGATGCCTGAGCCATTTTCACAACTTACCATCGAAAGTACTCAAGCTTGCTGGTCTCCATGAATCAAACCATCATATTCTGACCCATAGATAGCCATATCGAAGATCAATTCACTGAGGTAGAATTTTTTGTTCAGGCTTTTGAATTTCAGTCAGCAATAAATACATCTTTGGAATTCAATTTCAAAAGAACCAACAAGTGTTCAACAATGTGGCTTTTACCACACGCATCTTGAATAGCAATATTGGAGGCTCCAGTCGAATGTGAGGCTCCCTGGAAACATTGCAAATCAATCAGTATCCTTTTCTTCAATCGACTTTGTATACTTTTTAATCTCAATTTACTTCAGGATTAGAACCTTGAGACGTGACAATCTCGTCAATCAGCGTGTAAATCGAAGTGGTCAGTACTAGAGCCTGCTTCCCGTTGTTAATGGAAGTACTATCATTTACTGCGTTCATGTAACGAGAGTTCTAGAAAACGAAGAGTAGGTGACCGTGAGTTGATTGGGAGAGAAAGTTTTATTCAACTGTTATTTTGGAAAAACTTACACGATCCATTTGAAGGACTGAAGTCAAACATTCCCCTATAAAATCAAGGGAACTACATATAGGACGAGTTGAGATTGTTCCTTTATGAGGTGCAGCTAAAGTGACGAGGTTGATGATCTGATTTCGGATCGAAGGCCAAAAAGCTAAAGATAAATTAAAATAATTGAAAGAAGTCAAAAAAGAGCTTGAAGTGGAAGGCAATTCAAGGCAAAATAACAAATTATTCCCCATTGAGCCTTGTGAGCGAACCATCACCAGAAAAAACAACAAATCAGTCTGTTCATCCCTAGATGGAGTTTTATCTTCAAACTTGCATTTGAACCACCCTGACTATAGGTAACAGCATTAATCTTACCACTCAAAGATTGCTTAGCAAGATAATCAACAGCAAAAGCCACAAACTTGCCTGAAAGTTGCATATCAACAAGTTTTGCCAACTCGACCAGTTTATTTTGTAGCTCAAATTAAGAAAAATTGAAAGGAAAACATACAAGGAAGATTCATCTAACATAAATCAAAACCTTCTCTTGGTAGATGTAAACCAATCAGAGTCTTTTGATTGGAAAATTCAAAGAATATTCGAATCTCAATCTCTGATTACAATGAACGAATAACATGCCTTTTACCTCTGCAAAAACTTCGGTAGCTTCACAGCCTACAAGTAGATAGAAAACTAATTCACAATATCGACTTTTACGTATCATATAAGTGTTTGTTGAAGTTTCACTTAAGCTCACTTGTACAAGGGACTAATAAAACTATTCCTACCGAGAACAAATCGCTGAACGTCAATTATCAGATTTCTTTGGGTTGGAATGATGATATTTGACTTGCCTCTTGGAAGGTTTTGAAGCCCATGAGGACAATATATAGCTCTTTGGTACGATAATTGACCTTGTGAATATCATTTGTTTGGTGATGGATGAACATGAAAACAATCACTCATAAATAGTGCATCACCGTGCTTTGAAGTAGGTATTGGACCATTAGGTGAAGCACAGGTATCGTAAGTTGGAACTCCATTAATCAATCTTTTCATAAAACTAGATCGCGGAATTCTGAGTTTATTTCTGAACTCAAAGGAGCACCAGGAGGTCCTTCATCATTCCAGCTACGTTTTTGAAAATCGATATTATAAAACAAACGAAGCTCGTTAGCTAACACGAATTCATGATTCTCCAGAAGAAGTACGTTGATAATATGAATGAAGCTGTCTTCGATGAGGTAAAATAAGTACGTACCGATTCAAATCAAATGCAACCAAGACTACTAAAAAACTCAGAGCCAGCGCAAAGCGATCAATCTTAGAAAACATATCACAGCTACTCATTTTGTTGAAGAAGCAATACTCAATTATCCTGCCTCTTTTTACTTCATCCCTCGTGTATATCAAGAACTTGAAGATACGATCCGCGGAGTCTGTGACCATTGCGCACACTCAAGTCTTAGATATCCAACTGAGCAGAGTTCAACCAATCTATCAAATCTTATCCGAAAAGCTTTACTAAGTTTCTTTATGCGCAAAACACTGATGAGTTATTACTTTGTAGTTGACCTGATAGAATTTCAACTTAATTTATCAGCTTTTTAGATCAATTTATCAAAAGTGTAAAAATAAAAACAAAAAAAACACAAAACAGAATAATGACATCAAGATCAAATTGAGAGCATTCATTATAAAATCATCCTCATAGAATAAGCGTCTTCTCCATCAGCATCTACAATAAAAAACAAAACTAAGCCAATGGTTACAAACAAGATCATTGAATGTCGCATGACTCACAATATCCTTTTTCGATTTCTTTAACCGTAAAACCAAGGGTATCTTTATACAAATTCAATGCAGCTCGATTTGTTTTTCTGACATGCAATGAAACATATTTCGCCCCAAAAATATCTCTCATTGCTTTCTCTATATTCAAAAAAATTGATATCAAACATGAGTCATTCTATTGAGTCTGTATTAAGAAATTTCAATAATGACTGACGGGATTGTTGCATTAATTTATTGGCTAATCCTAATCTTCTATAAGTTCTTAAAACTGATATTGATGTTACATGTCCATGTGGTTCATCTGATGGATCTTCTTCCCTGAAATCAACCAATTTTTCATCCAAGATTTTCAGAAGAAAAAAAGACAGTTTATTATCAACTTAGATGTGAAATCGGGCATAGATAGTTTAATTGTACTTACATCTTGGCTAAAATATATCCTACAATTCTACCTTTATGATCTTCACCCACAAATGAAAGCTGTGGCCAAGTAAGAATATGATACAAATCTGATGATG